TTATATACTGTACATTGACATCAGTCACTTCCCCACAGGAGCTTACAATCTAGGGTCCTTATCTCACAGGCATTCATATAGGACCAATGTTAGACAGGAGCCAATGAACCTTCCAGCATGTCTTTGGAGTGTGGGAGGAAACAGGAGTACCCAGAGGAAACCCACATAATGCAAACTCCTTGCAGATAGTGACCCTCAATGTTGCAAGGTAGAAGTAGTAACCACTAAGCCCCTGCGCTGCCCCATTTTCATGTTACTTAGTAGACGGGGTGGGCAAACTACGGCCCTTCCGCTTTTGCAGAACTACAAATGCCACGAGGCATTGCAAGAGTCTCACAGACATGACACCCAGGGACTAAGGCATCATGGGATTTGTAGCTTTAACACAGCTTTAGTGCAGAGGTTGCCTACCCCTGCCTTAGTTCATACATCAGGTGACGCTTCTGTTACAGATCACATTCAGCTATCCGCCATCAAACTGCCTTCATTTAAGGCCCGGTTCACACCTGGGCATTGTGTAGCGCGTCCCTACGCTCTGCAAAACGCTCAAACACCAAAATCCCATTATTTCCTATGGGTATGGACCACACCTGGGCGTATTACAGGCCGTATGAACGCGCTACAAAACGCACTACGCCCAAAGTAGTACAGGAGCTTCTTTGGGGCGTTTTTGCCGTGCGTATCCATTGTGATACAGCCAGGTAGCCCTTGGAAACGCGCGTTTGTTGCATTTTTTTACAGCGAATCACGGTACTGGTAGTTCTGTTCTGGTAGGTTGTCACATCAGTTAGAACCCAAAATCTACCGGACAATCTGGATATCCAACGATAATCTAAATACATCAATTCACCAGTCGGCATTCTCGCCCCACAACCCAGGCTGGACACCTTCCACCCCAGGAGCGCAGTGTAAGGACTATACTCCGTACCCATGGAAATAGTATTCTTTTATTACAATTCAAAATAGTCACAGAACTGAAACATTTGTTTGGTTTTCTTTTTAAATCCCAAAACGTACAAAATAAAATATATTAGAAATATTTTGGAGGCTGAAAGGTCAGGAGACGAGGGACAAAGGGATGAAGAATTAGTGTTAGCGTTGAGGACCTGTCCAATCCGCGGGATCATCAGTGCTGAGAAGTGACGGAAATTAGTGGCAATACCTTATGATCCTTCTTGCTGTGGATTTCTCCCCCCGATGACCTGCAATAGGTGCGAATGTCCTGACCTGATCAAACTTTGCTACACATTTATAATCTCTCTGGCATAAGTAACTGCCCCTGTGGGCAATGAACTAAAGGCTGTCCAATCTACTAAAGCTGAAATCCAGTCAGCTTTTATTTCGCCTTGCCCAGTTCCCACCCCACCCCACCCCACCCCACCCCATCAAAATTCTAATACACTTATAAAATAAAACCTTTCCATTTTCATTACAGATCTTATTTCAGACACAATCATTGGGAATTCCTGCTTCTCTATGCAATGCAGACAGATCATGACTGGTGGGAGGGGCCAGCAATGTTGCTGTACATGGCTTCCTGAAAACATCACAGCACCCAGCCTCAGTACTCCTCAGACCTGATGCAAGCAGTGGCGGGGCTCTTGGGAGGCGTTATTCACCCATCCAGGCATTTTGATATTTGCATTTCAGTCTGGAGGAGTGGGCGTACCTAGGCAGGCTGTATTTGAATGCAGACAACCCTAAGTAACACCCCCATGTGATGCTGAGCCTTCATGATTGTTAAACTGAAATCCAATCAATGAAAGGGTCAGGCCAGGGACAGTCAGACTGGGGAACAAAGTGATAAATGATGAAGGACGTCCTCCAGCCAGGAATTGAGTCAGGCTCTATCTGACTTGCTGCATCTTTTAATGCACATTGTGAGAAGCTCGCAGTGTGCGGTGAAATCAGAGTAAACAACTCCAGTCCAGGAGAGGAGGCGGTACAACTGTGCTAGACTGAAGGGAAGGCCGGAGTTCAGCTTTAGGCTCGATGTCAATGACTGCATCACCCATCACCTACTCCAATCTCTCAGGGATAACATCAGCAAGAACTTTGCAATGGAGCTCCCCGTGCTTGCTGCGACATTTAAAAGAGAACTATGGGGTGACCTTTTTATCCCATAGCTCTCTTTAGGGTCACGGGAGGACAAATACCAACCTCCCTCCGGTGACCCAAAGCTCAGTATATAGCGGGCTATTGTCCGCTATATACTTAGAGCACCGCAGCCGGGATGGATCCCAACAATACTGTTGATATCCACCCTGATTGACAGCAGGATCTGCCTATCTAGAGGCAGAGCCAGCTGTGCCCGCCCCCTGCATCCAGTCAGCGCTGGAGTATCGGAGCGCGGAGGGGGGAATCCCTGCAGTGGGTGGTGACTGACAGTTACCACTCTCTGCAGGGAGATGATCAGAAAGTGACCGAGCAACGGTATGTGTTCGCTCACTTCCCAATCGATAGAGCCGACCTGTCACAGTTTCATTATCACACATCGGCTCCAACTATGAGGATGAGTGGAAATCACTCGCCTCCCATAGTTCTCCTATAAGGACTCGTTCAGATGTACGGAGACCTGCATTTTTCTACACCTGAGCAATGCAGGTGTCCAGAAGGACACACGGAAAACAATTGCCCCGTTCACACCACAATGATGGGGAGATCTGCGGTGCGGTGCCTAGAAATGAATGAAATGTCACTTTTGACATTTCAATAAAGAAAGAAAAAAAAAAGTGAATGTTGAATGTATCTTCCAAATACTGCTAAAAATAACAGTACCTTATTGGTTCTAAGCATTTACATCTCCAGGGGTAGGCAACCTCATCATTCCAGCTGTTGTGGAACTACAAGTCCCATGAGGCTTTGCAAACAGACAGTCACAGCAAGGACTCCCAGAAGCAGATGCATGATGGGGTTTGTAGTGTCACCACAGCTGATGTGCCGAGGTTACTTATCGTTACTCTATACACAAAGCCCGTTCTCATAATTACGCCCAGTCTCGGGCAGAAACAATCAGCAATTGTGTGGTGGGACGCACCGTCAACTTCAAATGGAACTTGATACCACAAATTATTATTTTTAAAACAGTTTGGTTTTTATTGTAGCAGAGACACGCATAGTATTTCATATGCTCCTCGGCTCCATCTAGTGGAGACAATGCCATGAATACAGCATTCAACCAGCATATGTCTGGGCAGGCGATTATAAATCATCTCCTGAAGCTGGCCATACACTAATCTATTTTCCTCCATGATAACTCCATCAATGCTACGTGTGCGTAGATCAAGGAATCCCCACTGTTTCTTTGGTACTCGGACAGCGGCCGCCGGCCACTGTCAGAATACCCAAACAGAGGCGGCAGCTTATTGGCCGCCAACGCAATTCGTACAAAGAATTTCTGACCGGATCCTTTGTTCAGCTGATCGAGGGATACCGGCCGAAAGGGTGCCGACAGCAAAACCCACAGTGTATAGCCAGCTTAAGTCGCTTCTGCAAAAGAAAGATTCTCTCCTGCCTGTTCGCGATGCACTTGCATCTCTGTGTACAATCTCGGCATGGACTCCCAGCATAGCCAATCAAGATGGCCGAAGGTCCTGGGCAAGACCGGGCAAAGATGTCAGTGGCCAGAGAGGTAGCTCACAGCGATGCATCTCTGGAGGGGAGCTTAGTGCAATCTGCAGCTCAGTGTACAATGTGCAGCTCCGTGTACAATCTTAGCATCTGCTGAGATGAATGAACTCCCGGCGCAGCCAATCAAGATGGCTGAAGATTCCGTGTCCTTAAGAAGACCGGGCAAAGATGTCAGTGGCCAATGAGAGAGCTCACGGCAATGCATCCCTGGAGGGGAGGTTAGTACAATCTGCAGCTCAGTGAACAATCTTGACATCTGCTGAGATGAATGAACTCCAAGCGCAGCCAATCAAGATGGCCGAGGATCCTGTATATGGCAGAAGACTGGGCAAAGATGTCAGAGGCCAGTGAGGGAGCTCACAGTGATGCATCGCTGGAGAGGAACTTAGGATAGTTCCCCTTTAACTGACATAACTGCATAACAGATACAGCTAATTAAGCAATGTCGCTGCAACTAACTGCAACCAATAAATGACGTTTCAGCAGCAGAGCTATTGCACACATGGTTGCTATGGATGAAAGCGCGTGTTCCGGGGGCCCCCCGAACCCCATATTCTTGCAGATAGTTACCTTGCCTTATATACAGGAGTTACAGTGAAGCTACATTGAAAAATAAAACTATTACAGGCTGCCGACAGAGATCGAATCTTTCTCCTCAAGAAGCAGACAGTCATCTGTAATCCATACATTGAATGAACTACTCATCCCCACGGGCCTCGCATATAAAGAATTGGAGGAAGAAAAGTGCCACAACACCCCCACTTTCCTTTACACACAGGGCCCTTTATTCCAATGCAGTGAAAGAGTTCTGGAAGTTGACTACGTTGGTCGCCGTGATCTGATTAGCTCATCGTATAGGGAGCAGTATTGTGAATAAATAAAAGTCCACCAAGTTACTGATTCATAGAAACAGCTGGCTGTAGAGGCTATTAGGGTCACACTACAAGCTACAATCTGGTTGTACAATCTAATCTATCCAATCGAGTTGTATCCAATCAGGCAGATCGAAAGGAGATTGTACAATCAGATTGTAATGCGCGTGGTGAGCTTTAAAAAAAATATTTGAGTTTGAAGTGGATGCAGATATTGGGGTGGCAGACAAAGGCTTTATAGGAGGCGGGTGAGGAGGGAAAATTAGGAGCTCAAAGATCTTCCAGCTACAAACACGAGAGAAGATATAACTCACTAGTTCTAAGATAACCCTCATTACACCGACTCTCCGGTCCGTCTTTGCCTGCCAGCAGCTAAAGTGTCCCATCTACAGGAAATGTACCGTTCTGGATATCGGCCCGCTGGCGTTAATTGTTTTAGGAGAGTTAACGTACAAAGGTTACCAATCCAATGTACGTGAGCCAGAAGACCGTAATGTGGGGGGTGTGGGTGCAGCCAGGATTGTTTCTGTATGTGCAGGGGGTACAGTATAAAGTTGGGGACAGAGGTAGATGCTTCACACAAGTTTCTTGGCCTCAAAAAAGCTCTTCAGATGTTTCATTTGCCAGATGCCAGTGAGGATGAGGATGACAGTCTGGGTGATGGACCACCAGAGGACCCGTTGGTTAGTGCTGTCGCTGGTTAGGCGGAACCTCTCCTCGCGGTACTGTGAAGAAATGAAAATGAAAGGATTTATATAGCGCCAACAGTTTCCGCAGCGCTTTACAATATAAGGAAGACATTACAATCACAATACAATTCAAGACAAGATGGGAAGGAGGGCCCTGCCCCCGAGGGCTTACAATCTAAAAGGGAGGTGGAAGTGATACATGAGGAGGGAGCTGTGTGGGGATGAATTGTTTAGGAACGTGATGGTTCAGTGGTTAGTTTGAGGTGGGATAGGCTTCCCTAAAGAGATGAGTCTTAATGGATTGCCTAAAGGCATATGTTTGGGTATGTCTATTTAAAGGGTACTGAACATTTTGGTTGCGTCATTCTGAGCCTGATGAAGGGGACCCTGTGCGGCCCTGAGAGCACTTGTACTGCAATGACAGTATTCCATTAATAAATGGACTTTTGTTGATCTCACTTAAATGGTGTGCTGGTGACATCCTTTTGCAAACTTGTATATACACACACACACAATCCTGGAGTTCTACTTTAACCACAGCTTCTTCCTCTCACCCTCTGGTAGTTCTGCTCCTTTTGAATTTGCTCCACTTGATCCAGCAGCTGTCTGACTCGGAGTTGTAATTCTGTCAGCTTGTCCTTTGCTGCAATCTCAGGGTAATTATTGGTGTGTTCTCCAATCTGGATGTCTAAATGAACTCGCTATGAACAGGAAAAGGATAAAGTCAGGGCACACACGATTAAAGCTACAAAACAAATATATTTGCCTCGGATTATGATAAACCCCCTTTTAGACTCCAAGTTGGCAATAAAGACGTTAAGGGGAACATTAAAGGGGAAAAAGGGAGGGACAGCACTAGCAGCCAGTTAAGGCCCACAGCGTACACGAGCCATCAATAAGCATGCAGACAGGAAAATGCAGAGGTGTTAGAATTTATTAGGCACCTTTCACATGGGCTGATCAATGCAAGGATCCCCTCCTGATTGGAGCAGATGTCTCCGCTAAAGAAATAACACTGCCAAAACCCATATCAGTCTATGAGAAATTGCATGTAAACAGACATGTCTGTTTACAACAGATTACCCCCAATCTGGCATGATCAGGTCCGGCAAAATGAAGCACTGTTCCGTTTGTTTCTGCTGACCTGGCCAGAGTCTAGGGTAACCGGGTGTTAAAAGACGCCTGTCCATTTAGACCCGTCTGCCCATAGACTTACATTGGGCATCCGATCAGGTCCGCCTGAAAAACTGACAGGCGGCCCTGAAATGGGCCTTAGTGTTCTGCTTCTCTTTCACTGTCCAGTCAGCAAGCCGGTGCTGTTCTTGACCTACAGCGTTCTAGCTGCTCGGAGAAGGCTGAAGATCTGGCGGTGGTGTTGTGGATCACACTGGCTACACAAAATTACAAATTCATTACGAAGTAGAACAGTTTTCTATAGGGTTGCACAGATACCAAGTACAGTACTCGGTACAAGTACCGATACTTTTGAGCTGCAAGACTACACTAGAGAAAAATTCAAAAGTTAGCAGACAGCTGTCATTTGTAAGGAGCACACGGAGCTCCTGGGATTTGTACATCTCTGTTTAATATATGATTTTGTTTTTATAAATATAAATAAAGGGATGCACAGATGCCAGTCTTACGAGTACTGGTACTTGCCCAAGTACTTACAAGTACGAGTACTGGTACTTGCCGAGTACTTACAAGTACGAGTACTGATACATTTTTGTTTATTGTCATGTGACAGTTTTTCTAAAACAATACAGGATAATGATTTCAGGACAGTGGTGGAGTGCCAGAGCCAGGTCCCAGCTACAACCGCTGCAACCCTGGTAGTTCTCATGATAATGCCAAGTATCTGCACTGGTACTCGAAAAGTATCTGTGCGTCCCTAGTTTTCTATATGTATTTAGTGCTCGCCCTGAGATCAGTTCCACTGTAAACAATCCTATCAATGATTATGGTAACATTAATAACTAGGTGTCAGTGTGTGGTTTGTGATTAACTACATACACAGGGGAGTCCATATGCAATGTCACTATTTTAAACTAGATCATCCATAAAGTTGTCCATCGTGTGACTGGCCTCACCAGTTTTCCTCCAGCGAACAGAGACATTCTTGTCGAGTTTGAGTGCAGACAGATCTGGTGTTCCCCTGGGGTGTGAGATGTAAAGATGAAGCGTCCCTCTGATCCATACTGCCTGGAGAGAATGACCTGACACGGGGGAAAATATCAAAACAAAATAGTTTCTAGTAAGACAACAATAAAGAAAAAACAGGAACATAGACGTGTACATCGTAAGAGGAAAAGGTGACAATAATGCAGATTTAGATAAAAAATAAAAATCTGTATAATGAAACTTAGGACCTGTGGCCTGGGACAAACAGCTTTCAGCTCCTGAGCAAATACAAAATGTTCATTTATAAAAGTTGATGATTTCTGAATGGCACTAGCAACCCCTAGATGGTGCTGACCAGTAGAGGAAATTCCTATATCAGATAGTTAGAAGCAGAAACAGCAATCTTATGTTACCTTCCCATCGGGGTCCTTCACCTCGACATGCATACCCAGGCCTGGGGTAGAAGGAAGGAAGGTTTCTGCCTGTTTATCCCAAAGCTGAGTCTTGTAGTTCCCTAGAGGGAAAAGAATGAAGTTTAATAAAAAGGACTGACATTTTTTTTTGCAATACGCACATACATACATCTCTTTATAAACAGACTAGACACCAAAAGTTACATTAAAAAAAAAAACTCTAGTGTATAAACTTGTATTACTACTGCAAGTAAATAAAATCCCAACTCCAGCCAAGGAAAAGATTACAACATCAGGATTGTACTCCTGTCGGTGTCCTCGTTAATGTGACTCTCTTAAACCGGCCATACACCTATAGATTATCTGCAGACTTTCTATGGTCAGATGGAAAAAGTGCAACAGATTCCTCCATCTACGCTAAACTGTGTGTATGGAGGAATCTCCACCTGGGCCAACTTCAGTATCTTGCTGGTTGGCCCCGCTGGCTGTCAAAACACCTGAACAATGCCGACATCCAATCAGATTGTTCAGGTATTTTGACATCCAGCGGGGCCGACTAGCAAAATACTGAAGTTGGCCAAGCGGGGGATTCCTCCATCCACACAGTTTAGCGTAAATCAGGGGTAGCCAAACTCTGGCCCTCCCATGAGGCATTGCAAGATTCTCACAGCCACAGACATGACTCCAGGAGAGAGATGCATCATGGGAATTGTAGTTTCACCATAAGCTAATTAAATATAGGTTCAGGCATCTGGAGGTCTATGTTATTTTGTATCAGAAACAATTTACAAAGATGAGAATGATGAAAAATTGTTTTAAAGTACTTAAAAACAGAAGAAACAAAAAAGGGGAAATCATCCGAGGGTCCCCCAATGCTACACAAAAAGGAATCTCACTATACCACTACTATACAGAACCGAATACCTCAGCAAGTCACTCAGAAGGATCTAAATGCCCAAATATACGCAACAGTATTTTGGATGACTGGATACAAAACAGATCAATCCATATACAAAAGGTTTGCCTAAAGGATCCATAAAAGGATTAACCACCTCCGGGCCGGCCGTAGTAAAAAAACGGCCGGCCCGAGCTCTCTAGATCTGAGCGGGCGTCTTTAGACGTCCGCTCAGACACGCCCCCCCAGGCTCAATAGATTGGGAAGTGAGCGAACACATACCTTCCGCTCGCTTCTCGATCATCTCCCTGCAGAGAGCCGTAACTGTCAGTCCCCGCAGGGATTTCCCCCTCTCACCGGTCCTCAAGCGCTGACAGGAGGGACAGACCAGGGAGGGGGCGGGCACAGCTGGCTCTGCCTCTAGATAGGCAGAGCCCGCTGTCATTCACACAGCTGGGTGGATCATGACAGCATTGCATGGTAGGAGGTTAGTATATGTTCTCCCGTGACCCTAAAGAGAACTATGGGTCAAAACACTGACCCCCATAGTTCTCTTTTAAATCCTGACTGCTGCAGTAGCCATACATTAATATTAGGATTGCTTACACTCATGTGCAAGATTTATCAACCTTTTTTCAGGCATGGCACCCTTGTAAAGTAGGGATGCACCGAAATTAAAATTTTAGACTGAAACTTTAATATTTGTCAGGACGAAACCGAGAATTACTTTTTTTCCCCAACCTTTAGAACATTTTAAAAATTATTATTTGTATTTATTTTTTACGGTTAGGGGCTTCTGGGAAATATCAGGAGTCTGAACAGACCCCTGATAATTCCCTTTTAGAATAGAATAGATTGTTTTCTGCGGCCCCAGCACTCAATGAACAGGAAAGCTCTCAGTACAGAGGCTTCTTGTTCATTCACAATCTGGAGACAAGAAATATTTCGTATCAACTTGATCATGAATGGACAGGAAGCTTCTGTACTGAGCGGCTTCCTGTTCATTCATAAAGTGAGCAGATAGTAAATATTTACTATGTCCTCATTCATAAAAACAGGAAGTGATGTATAGCACTTCCTGTTTATTCATAACTGGGGACATAGTAATCACTGCGAGAGGAATTTATCAAAACTGTAGCAGGCAGAATCTGGAGCAGCTGTGCATGGCAACCAATCAGCTTCGATCTTTCATTTTCAAATTTTAAGTGAACAAACTGAAGAGAGAAGCTGGATTAGTTGCCATGCACAGCTGCTCCAGATTTTGTCTGCTCCAGTTTTCATAAATTCCCCTCTATGTCTTCAGTCATTTACAAACACCAAGTGATCACTCTGTTTGCTCAGCACAGCGAAGGATTAGTAAATATTTAACGATAATGAAGTCCCACCCTCCTGACAGCTTTCTCCTTCTCGCTGGGAATTGGCAGCTGGATCGGCTCTGTGTCCCCCTCCGATCCCCGCTGCCTCTGCCGACACAGGCGGTGAGGCATGACGCTGTACTAACATTCTGAGGCACCGAAGGAAGTCCTGGCTCCCTGGTTGATAAAGGCTGCCTTAGTGACATCTGTGGATTACCACCCATGTAGAACTCTACAAACTTCCCAAGCTAAGAAATCTGCCTTTAAATAAATATTTGTAAAAACTTTTATTCTTCCAACAAGTCAAATATTAGCATATGGGTGACATACGTGTAAGACTTTCCACACATTCTACGCAGAGCACAGAGAACTGTATTCTAAAATGAACCTGAATTGTTTCAAACTGGCTATACAAGTTGTAGTCCGATTGTACAACCTCTGTGCAATGGCCTCCATATTACCAAAGCTATGTAATGCGAGAGCCTACCTACACAATCTGTTTAATTCGTATCAAACCAGACAGGTCATTGTGCTACATTGTTGGCTGACCTAAAACCGAATGTAACATGCAAGGACAGGAATCTTCCAAGACAGTAAACGAGTATGACTGAGCTAACCTAAAATAGGCGTCAGGGCTCACAGACAATTAGTCCTCATGTATATGTCCACTTGTGACCAAACAATGTAAATTCCAGCATATCACCGTGCCAGGGAGCCATACGTGCCCCCCCCCCCAAAGTGAATGGCTGTATGTAGATGTACATGGGTATACATCAGACTTGCGTCATCACGGGCATGGGCGCACAACACCCAATGAAGACAGTCTGCACTCACGGTCAAATGCTGCCACGCATGCACGTGTTTACCCTGCGTTCAGCCTTTGACTTCTATGAGAGGCTGTGAAATTTAAAAAGGAGCTCCGATTAAACAATTAACCCTTACAGTGGAAGGGTTAACTGTTTGTTTTGGTCTAGGGGCCGGAATAAAGAAGATATACTCATCTGATCCTCGGTCCTGTGATGGCGAGTTCTCATCTCTCTCTTCGGCGTTGGTATCTCCCTCGGTGTCCTCGTATCTATTCCAGGTAAATGGACTTGCACTAGATGTGATGACATCAGTGGTCCTTAGCCTAGTCACTGACTACCAAGCTACATCTATCAAGTGGAGGAACTCCGGAGGCTACAGGTGATAGTAAGCTGAAGTTAAGCACACCAACAGAGTTGTATAGTAGACACTGGTATCCAATAAGAGGTACAGGTCTGAAGGTTGTCATTCATCCAGGCCATGGCATATCTGTAGAAGGTTGTCATTCGACCAGGTCATGGCATATCTGTAGAAGGTTGTCATTCGACCAGGTCATGGCATATCTGTAGAAGGTTGTCATTCGACCAGGTCATGGCATATCTGTAGAAGGTTGTCATTCGACCAGGTCATGGCATATCTGTAGAAGGTTGTCATTCGACCAGGTCATGGCATATCTGTAGAAGGTTGTCATTCGACCAGGTCATGGCATATCTGTAGAAGGTTGTCATTCGACCAGGTCATGGCATATCTGTAGAAGGTTGTCATTCGACCAGGTCATGGCATATCTGTAGAAGGTTGTCATTCGACCAGGTCATGGCATATCTGTAGAAGGTTGTCATTCGACCAGGTCATGGCATATCTGTAGAAGGTTGTCATTCGACCAGGTCATGGCATATCTGTAGAAGGTTGTCATTCGACCAGGTCATGGCATATCTGTAGAAGGTTGTCATTCGACCAGGTCATGGCATATCTGTAGAAGGTTGTCATTCGACCAGGTCATGGTATATCTGTAGAAGGTTGTCATTCCTCCAGGTCATGGCATATCTGTAGAAGGTTGTCATTCGACCAGGTCATGGCATATCTGTAGAAGGTTGTCATTCGACCAGGTCATGGCATATCTGAAGAAGGTTGTCATTCGACCAGGCCATGGCATATCTGAAGAAGGTTGTCATTCGACCAGGTCATGGCATATCTGTAGAAGGTTGTCATTCGACCAGGTCATGGCATATCTGTAGAAGGTTGTCATTCGACCAGGTCATGGCATATCTGTAGAAGGTTGTCATTCATCCAGGTCATGGTATATCTGAAGAAGGTTCTCATTCATCCAGGTCATGGTATATCTGTAGAAGGTTGTCATTCATCCAGGTCATGATATATCTGTAGAAGGTTGTCATTCATCCAGGTCATGGTATATCTTTAATAAAATAAATCAAGGCATCTGGACTTACTGTATTTTTCTTGACGTTTCACTGGTCGTCCGACCAGCTTTCTCAATTCAAAATTGAATTGAGAAAGCTGGTCGGATGACCAGTGAAATATGAAGGAAAATACAGCAAGTCCAGTTGCCTTGACTTCTTTGTTTTTTAACAGAATAAGAGGTACAGCTTCAGGCCCCAAAACTGAACAAAAGCAAAAAGGTCTTAGTTCGAATTAGAGGCAAATACAAGTCCCATAAATACTAAGCTTTTCATCAACGAGTATACTCATTTATAGCCCCCATTACACTGCAGTACCTATGAGTAGCTTAAGGCTCTTCTCACATGGGCACTTTAATTTTTGTGAGGATCTGATCGGAAGCCCAATGTTAGTCTATGGGCAGCTGGATGTAAACACTTAAATTAAAGGAGAAGTATTGGGAGAGTAAAATGTTCTCTTCCCAATACTTAGAGTCGGCGTGTGACACTGCAGCTGTCACACTCCGGCTCTATAGATCAAGAGCTGAGCGATCACAAAAAACTCACAATCTCCCTTCAGAGAGCAGTAACTGTCAGTCATCACTCCCTGCAGGGATTCCCGCCTCTCTATGACTAACGTTCATTGGAGGAAC